GACAGTACAGTATGAGGTATATCATCTGTGGAAGAAAAAAAAATTAGCTCATCTGATGTCCCTAGTGCTCACCGGAAACAACCAATGAGAGCCAGGAGGAGGGTCTTAGAGCTGCCAATCACCTCGTGAGTATGCTGCTCAACGCTACAGCGGATAAACTTTTTTTTTCTGGAGCGGAAAGTTACTTCTCCGTCGTTGGCACATTAAGCAACACGTACACTGGGATGACTGGCAGCACTAAGACCCTCCTCTTGGCTCTGATCGGTTGTTTTGGACTGGGAGCCGTGCATTTCTTCAGGAAAAGAATGGAGGAGATCCGATTTTTTTTCCCCTCAAATCATCTGTGGCAGCAGAGGGACAGTTTTAGATATGTAGAAAAGCATATTTGTTCTGAAATCTCCACACTGCAGCTTTAAATCCTGCTAATCGTCGCATGTCACACTACAAAGGGGTATCCAAGTAGTCCACTTGGGCTAGGTGGGATTTTTATGCCTTTGCAGCACTGCCACACAACATGCATCAACTTGACAGTAGTTGGATTGGAACAAGAGGCACGAGCAATTAGAGTACAAAAACAAACTGTACAGAGAAGTTATGACTTGGAGAATCAGTGTTGACTGAATCCTTACAGTCGGATGACTGATGAGATGGATGGCTTGGCCTCGGCCACGGCCTACAGCAGCAAGAGTTTCTCTGGTTACACACACGGGAGATCGATACTTCCACAAAAGGCCCGTTAGCCCTCTCAACTCGCAGGGCTATACGGAGATCCAATGACCGAGATAATCACTAGATGTTTCTTCCCTCTTATTCTTCGCCTCTTTTCCTCGTTGCATCTTTCTTTCCATGAGGTCAGCACGGTGTTTGTGAGCCTTTGTGGCTTCAGCCCGGCACTCAAAAGCAGATTTTGAGTATAAATTGCACGGCACTTCTCTGGAAAGTCGTGTCTTTAGCGTGTTTAGGCTATCAGGTCCAAAATTTGCTATGCTATAAATCTGGTTTCATTACTGCGCACTGTAAAACTTCTGTTCTTCTGTGGGGTAAAAAAAAAACAAAGAAAGAAAAAAAAGGGACTTGCGTGATAAAAAATGTAACTTTTATCGTGTTTGATGGCAACCATTAGATTGTGTGAATTTATAGTCAATCCCAAACCGCAACTCTGTCAGTTTTTTTTTTTTTTTTGTCAAGTCCTGTGTTTAAAAATATCTCACTCTTTGAGTCACTGAGATTCAGATTTGCGGAGTCTTTCTTTGATTCATTGTAAAAGACCACAGTGTTACTTGACAAGGTAAGGTCTTTCTCGGATAGTGCTATCCAGTTTCAGTTGGGCAAATATTGTGGATATTTCTTGAGCTTAGAGACGTACATAAACATTCATCGTAAAAATTATATTTTAAGGGAAAACCTTAAAAATCAAAACGACAAAATTGACCAATAAACTTAGCAAGCAGAAAACATCAGTCCCTCGAGTTACGTTTGAGATCATCCAGGTACCCAAAAGCTGGTTTGTAGAAAACGGTTGTACATCAGACCACGCTTTAATTGTACGCCGTATTGAACTTTGCACCCTATTAAGTCTGAAATCAGGGATTCCTGATCATATTGGAGCTGCAGTTGCCTTAATACTTTTAAAGTTGCTTTGCCAATGGTCACTGGAGCCAAAATGTAGATGCAGATAAGAGGAAGAAGAATCGGAGAAGAATCGAATGTGTTTTTGCGAAACCAGTGAGTCAGATGAGTTACTGGGAAATCTCTGTGGGGGATTTCCCAGTGTTATCAACGCTGATAGGGCCAAAGCAGCTATTAATAACGTCTCTCTATTGTTTTTGACTCGTCCACTGACGATCTAGAGTGCGGATTAGTGTTTTTAATATCCCAGAGGTACAGTGGGAATCCTAAGCGGACGAGGAGTCGACTCATTACTGCACAGATCGGGTAGGAAACATGGACTATCTGAACTCGCTCAAAAATGTCCCAAAAAAACTATTTTTGTTTTTCTTGTTATTTCTGCTGAACGTGAGGAGTTTGGTTGAGCTAACCGTATTCGACTAAACACAGGCAGAGAGCGTTAAATGAATGAGTGATGTGCGGTGTGTACGCTCAGCAGGGAACACGTCAGCCATGGTTTGTGCGACTCTGGTGTTTGGTGTGCAAATGCGTTTAATCCCGATGTCATCAGAGGTTCTCGGCTTCACAACTTCGCTTCACCTTTTTAATATGGGGAATAACAAGACCGGGTCGAAATACCGTCATCGTCCTCGCCGCGGATTCTCAAAAATCTTTTGATAATGCTGGGAGACCCAACAGCAAAGTCCAGAGTGATTTCAATTTGGCTGTAAACAGAAAAACAACCCTGGTGGATCAGATCTGCTTAGCCGTTACTTTCTCTTCTTCTCTGTTTCCAATTAATTCAGCATCCTCATAGAGTAGCTGTATAATTCTGTGCCTTTCCCAAACACTGGTAGCTCATAAAAAAAGACATGACTAAGGTGTTTTTGTTTTTAACTCTAAGCTCTGTTAAACATTTTATTCACTTCTGACTCTTGGAAATGTGTGCCAAGTTCTAATTTGGTTTCTTTCTAAACAGAAAAGGCCCTTGCAACGTGTACAGATGCTCTTATGACGGAAAGGATTTTGAGCTGTGCTGTTGCTGAAGCGTACTTCACAAATCAATTTGACTGGACTCCATTTCTCTTACCGTGGTGCGAATGATTCTTTGCAATTTTCAAACTGTGCCTCGCAAATACATTTGTAGCCCGGTGAACTTTTTCACGTTTAGTTATTTCAGAGCCACATCATCAGCTGAATTTGAAAGGTATTCGCCTACTGCGGTACTGCATGACTGCAAAGTAAAAGCAAAAATGATGCATCGCCTTCAAAATGTTTGAAGAGGAAACACAGTGGATGTTTAGGGTCGCCGTACCTAAATCTTCAGTCGAACCTCCAAGCCCTGCCTCAAGTTTACGATAACCTGTTTTTTTTTGTTTTTTTTCACATTCCCCTCAGCATAATGAGGGGAATGTTTTATCCTGCCTCATAAAATCCTCAGTTGTTTCGGATTTTCAAATGTGACAAAATATGGAACTGCTTCGTTGGGTATGAACTTGGCAAAATAACAAATTCTGCAGGACGATACTCTGTCCCTAAAACTATCGCGATGTATGATAATGTCATTTCGAGGCCATTTTGGATTAATACCAGCAATATTAATAATGGATCACTGATATAAGTATTCTCCACTCAAAAATAAAAATAAAAACTTTCAATTTCTAAAGAACATTTAACTCAATAATTAGCTTAGACAGGGAAAACAGACAGAAATTGGCAGGTAGTGAAATACCAGGTGTTTGGGATGTTTCTCGAAACTTTTCAACATTGTTATAGAGGACAAGTGTTGTCCAAATGAAAGTTATAGCTCTCATTTTAATTTATCATGCCATATAACAGCATTGATTTATTGCTTATCGTGACAAAAATAACTCTCTGCCAATACCTTTTCCTAGTTTGTTTGATTTTTATACCTGTTTTCTCATGAGGACTTTGTAGGCTTTCCTTCACTACAGACAGTGACCTCCGTCCGACCGAGTTACTCGCTATTATCACCCACTGGAAGCAATCGTGTCACCACGTAGTTCCTTGCGACAGCCTCGTGTGTGCGCGCAGCGCTTCCCCTCTCGTTCATCCTCCGGGGCTCCGATTTGTCCTGTTATTTATTTGAACTGCAGAGTGTTGCGTTTCCCCGGCTTTTGCCAAGTGGGGTTTTTCACAAGGAGTGTGGAATTAACAACACATGCTTCAGTATGAAATGTTGCCTTTATTAAACAGGCCCACCGCAGCATTTCACGTGCCTGAGAAGTCCTGAGATGCATACGCAGTGACACTTTTACACTCGACCCGTGGCCACTAGAGCTGGAACGCGCTATCTGGACGAGAAGAGGGCTTTTCATACGACTGGGTTTAAGTGTGCTGCTGGCCTCTGCGCAAGTTTTACAATCGCTGACTACATCAACAAGGAAACAAAAAAAAAAAGAAAAAGAAACAAAGGAAAAAAATGGTGCTTCTGTGCAGAGCATTGCCAAGTTTTGATTTAGGACAGTCATAAAGTCTTCTCGAAAAAAAAAAAGGTCAAGTAGTCATGGCGGAATCATGAGGAGGTGCACGGCGTTTGGAGGGAAACTCTCTGACAAACAAGACGGGACATTAAACACTAAATGTGCCATGGGATCACAGTTTCCAACCCAGTCAGCAGCCCTCGCAGCGCTGAAATATGAGAAACTATCAGGGTTTATTTCAAGTTTATTTACTCTTTCACCACTTCGCTAAGTGACCGTCCCGTTCAGCACGCCCGCTCCAAAAATGGAGAACAATCCTCCAAGTTAGAGTATGTCTTTTTCTGTGAAGTTGTTGATAGACTGATATCTGCCACGGTAATTGCTTCCTTATTTGGGGCATTAAATATTTACACTTGGCCTTATCCTAATCCCAAGTTTATGAGCGATGTTAAACCACACTAAGGGGAAAAAGACATTTATTTTAAAAGCGCCGCTAACAGAGGCCGTCATCGCCAAATGGTGTGTCTGGACCATCTGTGAAAGAAAAAAATGGTTTACCCTTGAAATATATATATATTTCCTCTAGCCGTATGCGCACACAGAGAAATTCCATCGACTTCTCGCATAATGGCCTGACATTCACGCTCTGCATACTGCAGAAATCTCTCAAGCTGACAGGAGGAAACAGAGACGGCCATTGAGGAAACCTGCAGATTATACTTTGAAGGATTCCACAGAGGAGAGGAAGGGAGATGGTGGGAAATAAGCCCCGGGAAAAAAAAGAAAAGAAAGAGAGAAAAAAATGCTGGCTGGAACAAGGGCCAGTTTGGGGAAAGCACAGTGAACCTCAATCACTCAGACGGCAAAAACAAAAGCCAGAGCGTGAGGGTGACGCGCCGTAGGCGAGAAAACAAAGATGGGCAACAGGCGCCTGCGGGTGCTCCTTACCTCTCCTGCAGTGTCTCATGGCCATTTTGCACATCCTGGACTCGGCAATGGTGGGACACGGTATTGTGTCCTTGGGGGGTTTCTTAACAATGTGCCGCGTCCGGGTCTCCAGGCCCCACTTATAGCCACAGGTTTTGTTTCTCCTGGTGCAGGCTCCCCACTCGCTCCACTGGCCCACCTCGCAGCCCTCTGCGTGGGTTACACACAAACAAGTGGCGTCCCATCAAGTCACAGACCAGTGTTCATCAGAGACAACCGTAGGATACATAGGTTTAGCTTGGCTTCACTGTAAGCGCGTATTCAAATTGAGATGTCAAGAATTTAGTTTTCAGAGGCAAATTTGAAGATTTTGATTCACGATTGGCTTTCTCAGATTATTAGAGTACGCAAGACCAATAAGAAAAGTATTTTTAATTTATAAATGTTAGTCGATTAAAATGCTTGTCTATGCGCAGTCCAGAGCCCTTCGGTAAATTAGAATATCACCTCTACATGATGCCACATGAAGCATGAAAAGCTGCATGCGTTTTAGACGGAAGCACATTATATAGACTAATAACACAACAATGGATGCTTAACAGCCTTTATTTCTTATTATTTCCCACTTACAGCTACTTCAAACATGACATTTAAATTAGAGTATTAAATCAGACCAATACCAAAAATTTATATTATTGAAAACATAAATGTTAGCTTAATGGAAAGCATGCTCAATACCAGCTTATCGGTTTTTATTTTCAAAAGGTAATCTGTCAAATGAGATTCATTGGGATGCATATTCTATTTAATTCAATATGACAGCATTTGCTCTGAGTCATTCTGTGCTTGAATTCCTTTTACTTGAATTAGATGATCAATACAGCTGTGCAGCGGCGTTAAGGAAGGCTAATAACTTGTATATATCAACTTTTCTTATTATTAGCACCTTGTTTGTTCTCGTGTCTCTTATCTTCCTCGAGGCACAATTCCAAAGATTTGCTACTTTTTTCCGGTCAGGTGAGTGAACTGACATCAAGATCTGCTTTAAAAATGTCTCTCTCGACTTTGTCAACTCTTGGAAGAATGACATTTTGTACCCTTTTCCACCATTTTTTCCTTCCACTCAACTTTCCATTAACATGGATTGTTACGCTTCTTTGACAATGACTGGACAACTGAATCCACTGGCCACAACGAGGGCATAACATGAAATTACTGTAATAGAAAAACAATTTCTCATTGGTCTGTTACCAATAAGAAATCGGTAACAGACCAATTTCGTATTGTTAACAATTTTGTATTGTTAACCAAACCTGGCGCCAGAACGCCAAACCTGGCGTTCAGGCGAGTTAGACAGGTGAACATTCCTTAATGTTCCCATTTTGTCTCTCAACGCGCCTGACTTTGTTCGGTTTGACATACCTCCACACTCCATTGTGTCTTCCAGCGGGGCGAAGCCCTCGGGGCACTTATCAAAGCAGCGCCCTTTGTGCAGGTAAAAACCAGATTTGCACTTGGTGCAGAAGTCTTTGCTGAAGCAGGACTCGCAGTTGTCTATCCTGCACCCTGGAGGAAGAAACAGAAACAGAGGAAAAGTCATCTGGGTTTCAGAAATCCGCTTCATGTGGAATTGATTCGGAGCTAAAGTGTTTGGGGAAAAAGGAGGTTGTTGAACGGATTATACTCTCCCTTGTTCGAAAATCTAAAATGGTTGAAGATTTGTGAATTATTTCACATGGGGGAATCACTGTATTGTTATTGTAGAGACCCAAAACCCTTACGTTCCAGCTTTTGTTCAAAGGGAGTAAATCAAAAGTGTGAAAACACACACACACCAAAAAAAAAAAAAGACAGTGAGGAACTGATGGAAGCTGACCTCTTTCTGCAAGGTTCATCCAAAACTACACATGCAAAACACACCAGCTCACATGCTTTTAACTATGGGGTGCTACAAAAAGAACAATAGTGTCTGTAACGCTATTGTATCTCTTCCATATCTCCATATTTTTTCGTAACCCAACCCCCCAACAACTTATTGGAAAGTCAGTTTTTCATTAAGTTCTGAATGATGGGTTGCAACGACAAAAGCTGGTTTCGGTGTTTTGGCTTCGTAACCAAAAGAGTTCGCAACTGAGAGGCGGCGGGGGACCGGCTTCGTCGGCAAACGCAACTGCAAAAACTTTGTGTCTCACGCCACGCCCTCGTCGTCCGAAGAAAAGGCTCGGCAATGTGTCATCAAGGTCCCTGCAAATGACACGTCGAGCCGAGCTAAATTACAACGACCGCACCAACGGGGCGACGCACAGCCCCACATGATTAGAAGGAGCCTCCCAGAGCTGTCTAATTTATGCTGCTTCTCAGAGACTCTACGCATGCCCCCCGATACACTCAACCTCCAACCTCCATCTGAGGCCTCCGGGCGAAAGGGCGGGGAGGGGGCTTCCCAGGTAGGTCGTCATCTCTCGCTCTGAAACCCGAAAGACTTTGTTTCCATGCGCGGACAACGACGGGACAGTTGAGGCGCTCGCTTTTTTATCTGTGACCCTTTCTGCAGAACCCGGAGAAGGGAAGGTTTCTCACAATCACACCCCTTAATTACACCATCTCCAGCTAACCATCAGGCCTCCTCCTCGGCATTCCTGCAAAACGAGGGGGTCCCTCCCCGCTTCACTTTGAACCCTAAAGTATGGCCTCGGCCCACTCACTCTGGTCTCACGCTTTCCCGACCAGTCTAAACAAACTGTGAACGCACACGCTCTGCACAATCGCACACATGCCAATAAGATATGGTTAGAGTTAGGCTCACTCTACAATAAAGCTGGGCTCTGGAAAACGTGACTGCGCTGACCGTAAATCACGTCTCCGGCAGTCTGTCTTTGTACTCCGCGTCCCACATGTACACATTTAGACACCCCGTATAATTATTAAGCGTGTTTTCTTATCTCCTGTGCTCCATGTTATTTTAGAACCTAAACAAACTAAAAATGTGTTGTGACCTCATGAACTTTTTTTTTTACTACATTTAATGTGTTTTCCAGACACAGAGTGCCATTTTATGGCACAACTGAGTTACCTTCAGTGAGAAAAATGCTGCATATATCAAATATGACTTCAAAAAAGTTTGACTTTGTAATTTAACGACTTGATATTGGGGCACTGTCTCTTTAAGAAACACCTGCTTTTTCTGAAACTCCACCTTCAGGAAGTTGTCATTCTTCTATTAACCCTTTCACAAAAGTTTTCACTAGTGTTGCACTGAGAAGTAGCTGGTATAATGAACTCAGATGTTGCAGAGTTCCACCAGGTGATTTGCTAATTGCTGCTGGCTAGTTTGCAGGAGCTGAGCCCGAGAGGGGTGCTCTGTGAGGTGAAAAGTCAGAAGTTTAGAAACTGCAGCTCTGAGGAGACGGAGATAGGTCCAACTAAGCGTTTCGGACTACTGAATGGTTACCATGGGAGATTAAGCAACACTCTAGGTACATTTCCACATTATAAGATGGTGCAAAGTTTTTTTTTTTTAAAGTTGATTTTACACAATTCTGACCTTTTAATTACATCACAAAATTCATGTAGCATATTCATTTTGATAGAAATGTATATGCTATGATATGTAAAATATCATACATTTTGATAGAAATGTATATGCTACAAGAATTTAAAGTATAATTGTGTAGTCATCTGGTTTCACATTCAAAAATGTGAAACCAGATCTAGAATAAATGGTTGAGATTAAAGCTTCTGTTAGAATGGCCCAGTCAAAGTCCAGATCTGAGTCCAACTGTGAATCTGTGGTAAAACTCACAGGTGTTCTCCATTGCACTCAGCATGAGCCTGTGTACGTTTGTGGTTGTAAAGTGACAATTGAAAATAATCAAGGAGTATAAATACTTTTGTAAGGAGCTGACTTTTTTCATTCTTTCTTTTTTGCTTAGTGTTCTTTTCAAACATTCTGCTCCCCTCTACCCCTTTCCCACACCCCCTATTCCTGTCTGGGAGAAACTGCATCGCTGTCCAGACTAAACACAGTCTGCCATGCTGGAAGCTGGTACAGCCCAACTGCAACACGGGGAGCGAGTTAAAGCATCACAAACTGAAAAGCACAAAGTGTTCCTTAATATTTTCAACATGCTGTAGACTTCTCAGACTTGTCAACACCTGGGAGAGTGCTAGTTCACAAAGCGAATTGTAAAAAGAAAAAGAAAAAGTGAGCAGGAGATGAAGAACATCTGTCAGCGCTCTTATGCACTGAGCTTGTTGTGCTAGTCTTGGTTATTGTTGGCAAACATCACTAACACGGCTGTATGAAATACGGGATCCTGCCAACGACGGTAGCGTTTAACGAGCCTTTGATTAAAGCGTCACTTTTTGGTTTCCCATCTCTGATGTAAACAGGGAACAGCGTAAAAAAAGGCTTTTGTGATGAGATGATAATGTCGCCCTGCGACGGATGGATGAGGTGGAACACAAATGAGGCACTGTTATGATGAAGACAGAAGGGTCAGAGGTTATCAGATCGAGTTGGGCCGATGGGGATTGACGGACTATCTAGATCACGAGGGGTGGGGGGCGGGAGCTAACATGCACATCGAATGCGAAAGCAACATGTACCGCAGTGCCAGAGCAAACGATACAAGGGAGCGGGTTCACCATCCTGCTGGGATTAACCTCAGGACCACCTTTAAAGTCTTCATCTAGGTGCCACAGGGAAACTAATGAGACGCAATGAGGTCACTGGATCCCAGTGAAGGCCTCCTGTTCACCGGACTTAAATGTATTATCCTTATTATCGCTCGGACTGGTTCTGGCCGTGAGTCATCATATTATGAGTGGAAAAGCGGGAAAGCCTCATGACCGCTCAGAAGAGCTGCACAAGATGCCACTGAAGTAGGTGATGTTTTCTGCGGTTCGCGCCGCAATCATGTCTTGCATTTTACTTGTTTCTGTGTCGCTCTTGAGATTTTATCTCAAGCGGATCTGAAGCTGAGAGATGAGTCACCAAATGTGACTCGGGATCTAATAGCCCGGGCTTGGCAGGCGACGGCCCCTCAGCTGCGGTCTGGATGAGTAACCCGTTGATTTTATCGAGGACACTTAAAGCCACGTGTCAGCTTCAATCACTTCCTGTTTCTTCTCAAAGCTTCGTGTGCACTCACTCAACTAATTAGCATGAGCATTCGATGTGTTGAGAAAGAGATATGTCTCGGAGAGCTGATGAACCAGACAGGTTAGCTGTCAGATGCACACTCATCTGCCCACAAGAGGGTGCGCCCCGCCACTGATCGCCACGTCCGAAGTGCAGATGTTGTAGAAAAGCCTGGCAGAAAGAAAATGGGAAAACTAACCATGTTTTTCTATCTTCTCCATCTTTACCTCACATCCTACGTTGAACAGCCCTGACCTACTCTCTAGGCTCTAGGTTTGGCTTCCTCACTGCCACCCAGCCATGTCTTGCGGGGGTGCAGATGGCAGGAGTTTGCAACAAAGGTTAGAACTGCCATTTTCCTCCCAACTCTCTCCACTGTGGGCCTTTTTTTTTTTTGTTTTTTTTTCCACTCGGGCGCTCCTTTCCTCCCTAGCACAGCAATAGGTGAGGCAAAGGTGGTGTTCCTGCCAATCAAAACCTTCCAGAGGGAGATCGGGGATGACAGATGTGTCAGCGGTCCTTCTAGCTTCTTCACACCGTCTGTGATAAACCCACCTCCGCTTATTTATGCTCAGCCAGCCCTAGCGCTCGCACATACTCGCGCCGCTCAAACCTCATGTGAGCATTCAAGCACAGACAGTCCACAGTTTACTTTTTTTTTTCTTCTTCTTCTTTTAGATAATAAAAAAGTGAAATGAAAATAACAGTCTGTTTCTGGCTACCGTTAGCATGTAGAAGGGCTTGGTTTTATGGATCCATTCTACTGACTGGCAAATCTAAAAGAGCGGTTAGCAAAGCTGTGATGATTAGATGTCCCTTGACAAAGCTCAAAGGCCAAAAGCAACTGTTCTTTCCCTTGGCCAGACTGTGTGGTGGAAATACCCTCCAGTTCGGATTTAGAACAAGAAACAAGGAGCTCGAATGAGAGCGAGTTGATGGGAAGAGAGCTGCCAGTGTATACAGCCATTTGACTCTAGCAAAACTCAGAGTTACTTCCTCTACACACCCTCGCCGTCTTTGCGACCCTGCGGTCTTTCATTGGACCATAGCCTCACCCTGAACTATAGCCCACACACCTACTTTACATATCATTGGCATATTGGCGGTCCTGATGCCTTTTTGTCATCCGCTTACCTACAGACAGCACCAGTAACCTGAGCAGGAGATAACTGGTACCTTTCAAATCTCAGTTGTGTGGCAAGGCAATGGATCTCTGGTGCCCCAAGTCGGTCCTGGAGGGCCGGCATGTTTTAGTTCTTTCCCTAGCTTAACACACCTGTATCAAATGATGGCTCCTTAGCAAGCCTAAGAAGAACATTGACATGCTGAAACGGTTGTTACTACCACCAGGGAGAGAGCTAAAACATGCAGGATGCCGGCCCTCGCAAGAGATTCCCCTGCAATAGATTCTTCACTAGAAAATGTGCGTTTGTCCGTAGCAGCTGTGGGTCCTTAATTCAATCTGAGGAAGCACATTTTCAAACCAGCCCTACTCTCAATGCGGACCCTCTCAACACTTAGTCATGTAGACAATACAACTCTGATCGCCGTCTGATGGCTGATAACGCTTTCCCTTCAAGCATTTTGCCTTTGATACAACGTGATGGATTGTGTTTCAGCTTTGGGATCTGCGTTAAACTTGAAGTACTGTGAAGAATTGTGGCACCCACAACGACATGGGTGCTAGCAACTATTTTCCAGACAGTTGATGCAAACTTCATGACCATATTCTGTTCAGGTGCAAATACGAAGGCCCTCCAATCATAACATAGCCTTAAGATTGTAGTTGTCTTGTGATGCAAGAGTTATGGGCCCGACTCCAGCTGTTCCTGCACCTGGGCATGTTTCACTTAACTCCAAGTTGCCTTCCGATCCATGTATCAGTGTATGAATGAGTGCATATTTGGAAGTCTAGTGTAAAGCTCTTTGGATAATTGGTTTTAGTAGAAAAACACTTTGTAAATTCTATTTCCTATTTAAAATATATATTTTGTTTATCCGCATGTTTTTTTAATAGGTTAAATAATATATTACTTGTTAATAAATGTCAAACATATTGCTTTTCGTAAAGTTCAGGCCTTTTAGCATTCAGACTAATGACGTGGAAGTCCAGCGAAGGTCCACCGTAACTTGGGTTATGTTGTGACCTCCATTCACATGGGTTAATTTTATTATTTATTTATTTTTTGTATGGTTCCAACAATCACAGTGAATAAAGTCACAACTAAAGTTTAAGGTATTGGACCCAAGTGGTGGCTAAACCTTCCCCTTGAATACATGTTGGTCTGAAATGCAATCTTCCCTTACTAACTAGCAGAATAATGTAAAAAAGCATGTTTGTTGTTTCCCATGGACTGATCTTTCTCAAATGGAGACATTGTTTTTCGGGGCTTCTTGCTTAACTTTGTTTCTCCAGCAGTACATTTCTTCTCCCCATCCAGAGGCCTTTGTGTTACATGCCTGTGGATCCTACAGAACCCCTGCCGAAAAAATAGTGAGGTTTCAGCCCAGCAAGTGTCTGAGTGTGAAGACCTTCTGCTTGTCCAGCTTTTGTTTTTCTTTACTCAGGGAGTCCACAAAAAAAAAAATCTTGAATGAGATAAGATCACACAGACAAACTCTGGGATAATAAGCAGCCGCTGCTCCTTCAGTAATTTTTAGAAGTCGTGTTGAAAAAGCTCTTGACAACAGGGTCGTAACACCGAGCTCCGGGCCCCTTCAGAAACCAAAGGGCCAATTAATTTCTCACTGTGGTTTGTTGTAGTCATATTTGAGCCTTTTGGAACCAGTCGGCTGGACGAGCTCACAAAAAAAAAAAACAACAACAATAATAATTTTACGTTTAAAACAATAAAATATCAGTTTATGGAGACTGAGTCGTTTTATTAAAAAACAAACCAAAAAAAGACGACACATGGAGAGCAGCTGAGGAAGAAGAGCAATGAGTGAAGCAGCGATGGCATCGAAGTGAGCCTCGTCCTGGGAGCTAACGCTACGTGACAATGCAAGATGTTGCTCTAACAGTGCTGCGTAAGGCCAAGGGTCAAGATCATCCAGCCAGGCATCAGAAACTGCTGGTCAAAATTCAAACACGATGGGGATACAGTGGTTCTCCATGCTTCAGTTGACGTAAATAAAATCGCTTTTATTACCCAAGAACAAGATGTCTTTCTCTTTCGGTTAAATAAGAAACAACAACAGTTTATAATGTCCGAGGAGCATAGGATGTTCCTGATAATATGCTAAGAGTTAATAAAACTGCACTGGAGCTGTGGTGCTGATGCAGCAAACAGACGTGTGTGCGGACAAAAACCCGCCGCTCGCTGGCTTTTCAAGTCGGGATGAGGTTACTAGGAAAAAGTATATATTATCTATTGCCTTATATAGTGTATTTTAAAGAGATTAAAGAATTTGGGAATGTTTAATATGTTCAACGAGCGTTACAACTGTGTTTTTCAGAGTTCAGACGTAGCAGAAGATCTCCTTTTGCAAGCTATTCACGTTGGCGTGGGCAGGCACTTCGATCTGTCCCTACTCCAACACATCTGATTCAAATGACTGAATTGCCTCCTCAGACTGTCAGCAAGTTCTACAGAAGCTTCTCAATAACCACTGATTTAAAGAAGATGTTCTGACAGAGAGAAAAATCTGCAAAATTGTTGCCGCCCTCCCCCCTAACAAACCAATGTTGAAACAACTGATGAATTAGCACTGTTGTAGAACCATGTCGACAGTGAAGGAGTTGTACCTTCCTGGCAGGACTATGATTATCTTATTTTGTCAAGAAAATGATTTTTTTCTTGGTTTTGGTTGTTGACAGAAGGTACTCTGAACCTTGCTTAGACGGGTCATCTACTCGAGACCGGCCCTGAAACCTTAAGGAGTAGCTGACATCTTACAGTCAGTTCCCAAACAATACTATGAATTATTGGGAAGAACAAACTGTTGAGCATGCCTCTCGCAACTTCCTTAGGGTTTATGGCATTCAATTCTACTTTTACCACATTTTCGACGAACGGTGACATCGCCCATTGTAGCTCTGGCTATTTAACTTACTTATTTCTTTTTTTTCTTTGACTTGTGTTTCATTTCTGCAGATAGAATTAACATGAAAGATTTATTTGCTCCTTGGCTGTCCGTGATAGGGTAAGCAGAACGTAGTACTTTTCTGTCTCAGGAGTTGCTACATGTTCATATATTTCAGCCTTAAGGTTCAGATACCCTCCGCTGGGGATCCGTTTTTAGTGCGTCTGTCAGAAGTCTGGCTCAGGAAACTGAAAAGCTTCAAGTTTCTCACTGTTTTCATACGAAACACTCAGCCAACACCTCGGGCTCTGCATAAACCTACAAAGTCCCTCTCCATCTCTCCGAGCATAATCAATGTTAACATAAGGTTATGAGATCAGGGTGCTACATAAGGAGGAGAAAGGTACTTTTCATTAATTGGATTTGAGTGTTATTCTTTAACAACTACGCCTGAGAACATTTTGATTTGTCTGTGTTATTGTTTGGATTTTTCATTAACTGTAAACCAGAACTCCACAGAGCCACGGAGACCAAAGGTGTGGCCTCTCTTAAAGCCGGAGACCAAAAGTGTTTTGCATGCCATAAAAAAATCTGCAACAAAGGGGCGACGATTGCCAAAATATGGAAAATGCTTTCATCTCGGAAACAGTAAATAAAACCGAGGCAATGAAAACTACATTCAGCCTTCCTCGTAAATCCTTTTTCCAGGCGAAAGAGTTCATGCTTGTTTTAAATTCACTGTTTCCTTCACCTGTTTTCCACTTTTGTCTCGTCCCGTCGACGAAAATATTTTTGCCTTTGGCTCATGAAAATGTTTTCTGGCAGATGAAACACTGGTCTTTGGTCAGTTGTGGTTTTAGCCTTTGAACTCTGAAATGGTTGCTAATTTTTAGGGAGTGCGCCTCTCTCTTTAATCCCGTCATAGCCAAAGGGAAGTGAAGGTTATATTGCACTGTTTTTCTGGGTTCTTCTAAGTTCTCTCAGGTGTGCGTCGTGCACTCAGTGGTGAAAACTAAATTTGTCACATCTTTGACGGTTCATTTTAGATTTAACACGTGAGTCAATTAGTTGTTGTTTTTTTACACAGAGCCAATGAAATCATCATTAAAAATGTTAATTTTCCTACTATGAACATTTATTTGAAGTTCTGAGATAGCATTGTGGCAAAGAAGCACAAACTGAAGTGATACCGTTTTTTCCGGAATAACGCGTTATTTATGACGTCTCCTGGATTTCTGGACCTTTAGATATCCTCATAACTTGGGCATGTTTCGGATTAAAGCGTTACGATGGTGTTACAGACGGATGAGAAACAGCAGGCTCATCCTGAGGGACACGATGCTAAGATGAAGCTTCACTAACGTCAACCTGAGCGCCCAGACAAACCATTCAAACTGCGAGATATGTCTGTCTCCTCTTGATAATTGACAGTAAATCAAGCACCGTGGGAAAATGGGAAGCTGAAGTGGGGGTGTATTAAAGGCCTGCCTCGAGAGATTGAAGGTAAGGAAGAGTTTGGGGTGAAAGGGTGGGGGGTTCTTACTGGAGCACATGTTGATTTCAGGGCTGCGCATGCCGTAGTATCCGGCTGGACAGTCGTGAAGACACTCGCCGTACTGCCGCATCCTCTCCCTTCGCAAGAACAGGAAGAGTTTGGGCTGGCAGTTCACGCAGCCGTTATCCCTGGAGCACACTGAGCAGCCTTTACAGATGGGGTACGCTCCATAGCTAGCTGTAAGAGAGGAAGAAGAATGATTAATGAGTCTGTATCAGCTCTAACAAGTCCAGTGTGACTGTGAAGTGCTTCAGTAAAAAACATATGTTTAAATCTTTCAGCTATAGTTGCAAATGTTTGTCGATGAACAACAAGACAGCTGGATACACCAACTCTCTCGCGGCCTTAGCAGACAACAAATGTCAGGGTCAGACAGCAGGGAAGCGGAAGGTTACCCCGTCAGACCGTCAATTCCCGAAACTACAAACGAAACAAAAAACTCGTAAAGGCACGGGACTGTGCACAGAGTAAAAAACTCGTGTGGTGTAAATGACCCCATCTCTAAAGACCAAGGCATAATGTACTAATTTCACATTATTGGACATCATGTAATGTCAGTGCCTCTTTCTTTGTAGAAAGAGCATTGAGGACTCAGGAGGTTCCAACCCAATAATAAATATTACCTTGGGGTCTTGATCAAAGCTGTATTTAATGGTGAACACCAGACGTTTCTGACAAAACTCAATTTCTGAACTCCGGTTGCTGCTGCACTGCATACTATATTAGGTGGACACCAAGACAGAAGCATAATTTTAACAATCACAACCTGCTTTAATGTGCAAAACTGTGTTTTGGGGGGCATGCATGTGACTTTGTTGAGCTAAAAAAAAAAAAATCTGATTTTTTTCATCCAGTTACAAACAGCAGCTGAAACACAACCATCACACTAGAAGCAAGGCTTGTAGGAAAAGTAAGGAAAGAACAGCAAGTATTCTAATTTTTATTCACACATGATTGTTTGCATCATGCCTAGTTGACACCAATCAGAACACAGACTAAGCATGCTGCCATTATTTAAAGGTGCTACAAGCCTCAGTTTGCGAGCGCTTTTCACTCTAAAACAGGTTCGCGAATACACAACTTGTCCTGAAATGGCTTCCCCAAGTGTGGCCAATCTCTGCTCCAGCACAGATTGGCCACATTTAAATGAGGCATTAATTTCTGTTGAGTTAAATCTCAGCTGCAGCAAATTTCTTGGTGTTCTCAAAAAGTCGGAGCTGTGCAAGTTGAATGGGAAAATTAGCATATTTAATAGTCCAGTGTTTTTGTTTGTTGTTTTTTTTATGGAGCAGGATATTGCTTCTTTAAGGATGTGGCAAAAGATCAAATTGGTTCTGGCCTCTGTGTGTAATATTAACATATTTGATTAGACCTGACTGTTTTGTGCCACTTGGGTGCAGGACAATGAGGAGGGTGATGCAGGGGACCACAGTAACATGGGTGGTCCGGTGCAGGATGTACCAAAAATCTTTTTTTATGGGGGAATTAATTAATTGACCCACAATCCGGCTAATTATGGGGCAATTCACGAGAAGCAACTGCGCACAAGTGGGGTTTTTCTTAGTTTTTAAAAAAAATCCAACTATGATACAAATTATGACACTTATTCGTGTAAGTCACATATTGTGATTTTATTCTATATTATTTTAGGTTTTGTCTGACAGTCTTTTTCATAATTTAATACCAGAAAAAAAAAAGTCATAGCAAAGTTGTCCGATGTCCTTCCTTGACTTTTGAAGAACGCCTCGTCAGATCGGGAAGTGGAGTTCTTCGAAATGTAAAACTTCCTTTTTTTTTTTTCCTATGTTTTTGGTCACTTTTAGATATAAAGACATCTGCCAGGTTCACATTGCTTCCATCTCCCAGATTTGAGTGGCAGGTTAGCTAATGTGTATATTTAGTGCAATCTGCACTAAATATACACATTAGAAGAAGAAACCAAGAAGAAAAAAAAGACGTAAATGACGGGAGGAAATGGGGCGGATTGCACTGCTTCTCAGTTGTCAAGCGCGTACATGCAATTGATTTTTAATAATGTGCTGGGTCGGGACTTGGCATTGGCAGATGAATATCCCAAAATCACTTGGATCAGAAGCAAAAGACAAATGCGGATCATGACACGGCATTCTTGTATTTGGTGAAACAGTAGCTACAGAAGAGAGGTGGAACCTGTAAGACGGATGAATCAGAACGCACTTCTTGATGACTTTGACATTACCCAGATAGTCAGGATTTTATTTATTTAGTTTTGTTCTTTTTAGCAGACAAGAACAACTTAAGGCAAAAATGTAACTGTGGGCCAGTGGCGGAGCTAGACTTTTTTTCCAAGGGGTGGAAGGCTTTATCAGAGGGGTCCATATACAAATTATGAGCGAAAGGAAACAAATATTTTCTCACACACACTCAAATTAAAATGGTTTATTTAACAAAGATTTGCCATGACCAAACAAGACGTTAAACGGCACTATGGAACAGTGAACATGTAAATGTAAACTCAGAGCCCAGAATATGACCAAAAACAAATTCTCAAAAACAAATAAATAAAACTGGCTCCAAATCCTCAGAAAATCCAAATTCCTTGCAGGGTTTAGTAACTCAGGTGTTCAACTAAGTGTTCGTTGCTCACCGAGCCTCTGGATTTACGGTGAGTTTAAGAACATGAATCAAAGAAGACGTGTTCCACTAGCCGTGGACCTCAGAAGACGTAACCTTTGTACCGGTTTTACAACTCAGGTGATCTACCTGTGCGCATGTGGGTCACCAGAAGAGGGTTTTTTATGCCTCTGGATCCGGTGACTTCGGAAACCTGAATCCAAGGACTCAGCGTGTTGGGGCCAGAAATCCAGCTGCATGCCAAGCTGGGGCCAGAGATCCTCCTGGACCAGGGGTAGGCAACTCCAGGCCTCGAGAGCCGGTCTCCTGCAACTTTTAGATGTCTCCCTGGTATAGGGATATATCCATTTATCTGATATATCCATTTATCTGTTGGTCTATCTACAGATCTATAGATAGATTTACATATATCTATAGAGATCTGTCTATCTTGAGCTATAGATCTATCTATCTATAGATATATCTATATACAGATATATCAAAAGATACATCTATGGATGTATCTATAGATGTATAAACATCTATAGATATATTTATATAGATATCTATAGATTTCTATCTATACCTAGATAGAAATCTTTTTATCTTTCTGTCTGTCTACTATCATTTTTTTAGGGAAACCGGAGTACCCGGAGAAAACCTTCATTTAAAGTATGATTACTTAATTTTACTATTAAAGAAAATTATAGACAATATCTGTCTGTCTATCTATAGACAGACAGATACATATATATAGATAGATATCTATTGATCTATCGATCTGTCTGTCTTGACTATCCACCATTTTTTTAGGGAAACCGGAGCGCCCAGCGAAAACCTTTATTTAAAGTATGATTACTTAATTTAGTAATAAAGAAAATTACAGACAATATCTATCTACCTTTGTTGTTTTTGTAGGGAAACTGGAGCACCCAGCGAAAACCTATTATAATTACTTAAATTTGCTACTATATGTCTAATGTAGCTGACGAACAATCTCACAAAGATGTTAGTTCAAAGTTGAACCACTTGGGTTGCACTCCTTGGCCAGCTGAGAAACATCATTCAGTCGATTCTGGGATAGATGGCAATTTTACCCCTTACTACTCTGTGGGAAATCGTCACGGAAGCGCACAGTCTTGGATTTCAGTGGGTGAAGTTTGACAGGCTTGGTACTGCTAACTTTCTCATCACCGAGTGAATGGTCGCCATGGTTGTCAACAGGATGACCTTGATGTCCAAAAGTAGGAAGCCCAAGAAAGTCTTGAGGAGTTTGCCCAAAATATCTGCGAGTACAAGGCATGTGATGTTTGTGAGTAGGGTGTCCGTGATGTTTGTCAGTAGGATGTCCATGATGTTTGTCAGTAGGATGTCCGTGATGCTTGTCAGTAGGATGTCTGTCATGTTTGTCAGTAGGATGTCTGTCATGTTTGTCAGTAGGATGTCTGTCATGTTTGTCAGTAGGATGTCTGTCATGTTTGTCAGTAGGATGCCTGTGATGTTTGTGAGTAGAATGTCTGTGATGTTTGTCAGTAGGATATCTGTCATGTTTCTCAAGAGATAACACGTCAAGTTTTTCATTCGAACGCATCTCTTCTAGCTCAGGAGAATAGGCGTCAGGTTTGCGATATGAATGCACATAAGGTTTATAACCAAAATGTGCATCATGTTTGTGGCCAGCATGCACATCATGTTTGTGGCCAGCATGCATATCCGGTTTGTCAGCAGAATGCACCGTTCTTCTTTCCTCAAGGGACTTGGACCCACTTGTCTCTGGTGCTGCTGCTGGCAGAGTCTCCTGAATTTTGTGATAAACTGGCTTTTTATTAACAACATTTTTACTCTCCTCTGGAGATGGGACCAGTTCAGGAAGCCTGCTCTCACTCTTGTGTTGTACAAACACCGATGTGGACTGGAAGCCTTCCTTTGGGCTACCAACACTGTGAAATATTTCTCTATGTCTTATAATTTCCTCCCTAATGACTGGTTTAGTCTTCTCCTGGGTGCTGAATCTCTGCTGCTTCTTCTTCTTTTTCTCAATTTCTTCCATCCTATGCAGCCGGTCCGATTCCATCAAGGAATGTAACTCTTGCTTTTTCATCTTCTCCATTTCGATCTTCTTCTGCCGTTTGTATTCAACTTGATCATCCCAAGCAGCAGTCAAATATTTTTGCATTTCCGCTTTCTTTTGTCTCTCCTGTTCATCAAGGAACCTTTGGGGAATCCTCTGTGGAGCCATGTCCTTGTAAAACTTTTGTCCCTCCAAAGCATCTTTGGCAGATCTGAAGTTGTGTTTTTTCACAACTTCAGATCTGGGCAAATCAAAAACTTCTCGTTTGGTCTTTTTAAGCGTCTCTGGTAGTTTTTTCTTCTGTCTTCTTGTTTCTTCGATGATTTTCTTCCTCTGGTCTTCTCTCCAAATGATCAATTCTTTTTCATAAATAAATTGTTTTCCAGTCCTCTTCTTCAGTTCCTCTCCTTTTTTAACTAAGGCTTCCAGTTTCTTTTTATAATCAATTTTTCTCCTGAGTTCGTTGTCCAGTTCAATCGCTGTCTTAATATCGATTCCCTCTTCTGAAATGGAG